AAATGACGTATTTTATTGTGATAAAATTCACCCTTCCAGGACTGGAGAGATAGCTCCATGGTTAAGATTCTTCCTGCTCTTTCAGAAGACCTGAGTCTGGTTTCCTACCTATTGTTGAGTGGCTCACAACTGTCCATAACCACAGATCCATGGGATGAGATGCCCTCTGCAGGGACCTACACATGTGTGCGTGCGTGTGTGCGTGCGTGCACGCACATACACACACACACACACACACACACACACACAAAAATGAATCTCTAAAAAATTAACCACATTAAAGAATAAACATCTAATTCATTTAGCATAATCACAACACAACCATCCTCTGCAGGTAGTTCCAGAACATTTCATCATATTCAAAAGCTAAGTCTGTAGCCATAAAGCAACTGCCTTTTTTCTCACTTCTAGCTGCTCCACTTTATGGATTTGTCCACTCTAAATATTCCACAGGGTTGGAATAACACCACGTTCCATCTCTTTTGCATTTGACTTCCTTTGCCAGGCATAGTTTTAAAGTTCATCACATTGTGGTATGTACCACTGCCTCATGTCTTTCTATGGCTGAATACTACGGTATAGACAGACCTCATTCTTTGGATCCATTTGTGAACTGATGGATATTTGAGTTGTCCACACAGTTTGGCTATTGTGAACAATGCTGCTATAAATACATGTTTATGAGTATTTGTTTGAGTGTCTGTTTTTAATTCTTGTGTGTCTATTCCTGGGAATAGAATTGCTTCATCATTTGGCATATTTACATTAGAACACTATCCCCAGCCCCCCCCCATGTGCCCCTTTCTGTAAGGTTCTCTGTAAAGTTGATACTGAGAAGAGGGATGCATATAGAGAAAAGACATACAGATGAGGCTATGAGAGCCTTTGTGTCCAAAGCACTGGAAGACATCCAGAGCCTTCCAGAAATACAGCAGAAATAGTGGGATATAATATATATATATATATATATATATATATATATATATATATATATATATATATATATGGAGATGGTAGAGATGTTAAAAAACAGAAGAAATCACCTCAGGGAGGAACCATCAGCAGCCAGCAAGATGGCTCACTTGCTCACTGCACAAGCCTGGCTACCCGAGTTCTAGCCAGGTAAAGGTAGGAGAGAACTGACTCTACAGATTTATCTGTTGACCTTGACAGGTGCACTGTGGTACATGCAACCAATCCCCATCCCTCTCTCACTCACATACACAATGACAATAATAATTAATCTTTAAGAAGGAGAAACCATGTGCTGGTTAGTTTTTGTGAACTTGACAAAAACTGGAGTCACTGAGAAAGAGAAAACTTCAGTTGATGAATGGCCTCCAACTGGCTTGTGGGCAAGTCTATAGGCATTTTCTTGATTAATGATTGACAGGGAGGGCCCAGCCCACTGTGGGTGTGGTGCCCCTGGGCAGGTGGTCCTGGGTTGTATAAAAAATGCAAATGATTAAACACCATTTCTCCATGGTCTCTGCTTCAGATCCTGTCTCAAGTTCCTGCTTTGGCTTCCCTTGATGATCAACTGTGACCTGGAAGCTAAATAAGTCCCCTTCCCCCCCACCAGGCTGCTCTTGGTTAGTGTTTCATACAAGCAACAGGGAAGCAAAATAGGACAGACCAACAACAACCAATGCTAAAAGGAACTAGAGGTCCAATGAAAACTGAACATGCCAGGTGCTTATGACAAATGGAAGTGTGGGATACCCGCCTCACTGAGAGCCTGAGCCCAAGACCTAGGGTGCAAGGCAGATGCTAAGCTTTAACACCAATACTCTAAGACTCCCTGACCAAGAAGAGCAGAGGTCACACATTCTTTAATTGTCCCATAACACCTAGAATGTACAATGCAAATATCCAGTTTAGAACTGAAGTTGTCTTTGGGTGGAAGTTGACAGGTCAACCAACAATGCAGTGGCATCTAAAAGTCCTGACAGGAAACTGAACGACACCTACCCTGCTGACTACAAAGGACCTTGTGCAAATTTTTAACTGCACAGGAAATACTGGAGTACAGCAAACTGTAATTAGCAAAATTGAGTATAATTTAATCAAAATATGTAATAGACTTCCAAGGTCAAAAATTATATAAACAAAGACTAATTTACTCTCATTTACCTAAATATTACGGAGCGGGTATTTGGCGTGTATCAGTTGAGGCTGGCACACTTGAATGTGTCAAAAGCGTCAGTGAGAAGGGCCTTAGACTGAGATGGGGTTTTGCTCGGTTCTACAAACTGGCTTGATCTCCTAGGCTCAAGCAATCCTCCTGTCTCAGTTCCCTGAGTAGCTGGAACTACAGCAGCATCCTCTGTACCTGGTTGGGGGGTGTTTTTATGGGGCCACTGCTCTTGGAATACAGGGACATTTTCAGTGTGGAGACGAGATCTTTGGGCTCACTGGGGACCTGTGTGTATGGGTGTGGGGGGATGAGAGTCCTCTTTTCACTACTTAAATCTGTCTTAGTTTGAAGGAATTCTTATATTATATTATAATAATTATATAACATTCAACCATCTACAAATCCATATTGAAAAGAAAATATATAACGATTTCCCAGAAAACTATTTTTCTGAAAAAAATAAAAAAAACCACCAATTTTCCTTCTGCATTTAGAGAAAAGAGTAACTCAAAACGCTTATATTTTCAGCATGGAAAGTGAGAATTAAGGCCAACTTTATGCGCAAAGTCACATGTGAAAATTGGCTTACATTCCTGAACACAGGTGAAGCAACTGAGCGCTCTGTTTGTAAAGTATGTGCTCAGTTTTTGTTGTCGCCATTTTTAAATCAGAAGTGTGACACCAGCCAAGGAATGTCTGAGAGCAGGGACACTGGAAACTACCTTGGAACTTTCTAATGAACACGTCTACGTAGGAGATGGTCACTGTATTCCACTTGAGGTCGGCTCTCGGTGCCTATCGCAGTTCAAGTTCTTTCTAGTACCATCCTAAGATTTGCCCGTGTGACACATGCAGCCAGGAGAAGACAGCCTATGCGAGGGGGAGGACACGGTGTTTTTCTTTAACACAGAGCAGCTGGCTAGGATGGAGCCTACTCCTGCAGTCTGCAGGCCTGCCTGGTTCTCCCCTGGCAACCCAGATGCACACACTTTGATTGTCCCAGGGAAGCCTCTATAAGGGGTTAGCCTGTTGGCAGTTTACTAGTCTGGGCCATTTGGTTTCCTCTTGTCCCTGGTGTTAGTGTTTGCTTCAGTCACTGACAAGCTGGGGACTGCTCCTTGGTGAACAATGCAGGCGGCAGGCAGAAGTGACTGGCCAGCACTTGTAGATCAGGTAGAATGACAATAACTTCCAGTGTTGAAGAACTCATAGAAGTCAGGTCCCACCCACTGAAAACTCAGCATCTTAGACACAATGAGAAACTACAGAAGACAGGATTCCCAGCATGCTTTTCCCTCTTCCAGTTATCATGGGCCCTTTTACCTATGCTGGCCTCTTATCTTCCTAGTAGATTATTTTTACAATTCCGACTTTCAAATCTCTATCAGAAGTGCACCTCCATGTTATGTGTAGTCAATGTCAGCAACAGCCATCCTCAAAAGTCTTCTCAGACTCCATAAGAGCCCATGAAGACTTTCGGTTGGGTGGTGTAATGGTTAGTTCTAATGGTCAGTTTGCCTAGGTTAAGAAGCACTTATTGCTATAATTAATCACGTCTTTGTGTGTGTCTGTGCAGGTGTTTTCAGAGAGCTTTAAATGGGGATGGAAGACCCACCCTGAATTCGCATGCCACCACCCCATGGAGTGACAGGAAACAAAAGCATAAAAGCTACTTGCTGCTTTAAGCAAAAATCTATGAATCCACAGCTAAAGATAAACTTACGTTTTTGTTTAGTTTTTTCTTCTTCTTCTATTTTTAACATAGAAGTTGAAGCTGAGGATTTCTTTCATCGATTCCTCTAGAAGCCCACAACGCAGACACATCAAGATCATTGGTTGGACACAACCTAAGCGTTCTCACCTGCAGCAGATGACTGCCTTGCAGGAGAGGGCCAGGTCCAGGAAACTTCTGCGAACTTCAAAGGAGAGCGCATACTTCAGGGTGTGGCCATCGATGATGAGGGCCACGTCGTTCTCTTTGCCCAGCAAATTTCCGAGGTCCGTGCAGTGCTGAGTGATGGCAGCCCGTGTTGCCTAGAAAAAGTGGAAGAGGATGATGTCTGTGGGCTTCATACATAAAAGGCGAACTCAAAAGTTTCTTGAAATGAGAAGACAGAACAAGGAAAAATACACAGTTCAACCTGGCACAGTCACTAGCATGCCCTCTCTGGCTGATTGATGGGTAAAGCATCCTCAGAGTGAGAGGCCCTGTGATATTCACAATGATCCAACCCGGCTGAAGGGTACAGTCTAGTGATGCAAAAACTCTTCCCAATGGGATATTCTCTCTCTCTCTCTCTCTCTCTCTCTCTCTCTCTCTCTCTCTCTCTCCCCCCATATATATGCATATATATGTATATATATATATATATGTATATATATACTCTCTCACACATACACACACACGTGTGTGTATGTAATGATGTACATATGTGCATATACATTATTTTAATGCTCTTAAAAAGGAACCTCAACAAAAGCACACATGCTTAACAAAAGCATTGCTGGAACTTACAGGACAAACACTAATATTCCTCAGTTTGCACAAGATAAAGTTTTAAACAGCCCAGAAGGGGTGTGATATAAAAAAATATGTTTACATGAAGATTAACTTGCACACCAACTGAGCACTTCAGATTGTACTGTTATCTCCCTATATCAAGGAGACAAGAAATGAGTTGGTCATTCTCACATGGAAGAAACCGTCTAATCAAATTCAACTGCTCATACCAACCAAAGCACTGCCATCAGCCTGAACAAACACTGTGAGGTGTCTATTGTTACATGCAAAGCATGAGAATCATTCCCATAATTAATAAAAGATGTTCTTGTATGGAGGAATGTATGGGCTCAAATATAAGAATGCACCTTTTGGCTGATTAAAAAAATGCAGCTTATGTTTATTCAGAAAGCACAAAAATACACCAAAATTATTCTTTCTGGACAATGGATCTTTTGTCTACAAAGCTACATTTTCATGTAATTTACCTTATGGTAACCTGAATTTCAGTTCGGAAGCAGAGAGTCTAATGGACAGGCACTTTTCTCCCCTAGTCCCACTGAAGCTCACTGCTGCTGTCAGTGAGAAGCTGTTACCACTGTCTCTGTCCAGTTTTCATTCTCAGTAGGATACCAAGACACAGAAAGACGTGTAAGGACACGTGCTCTGGAACCACACACTATGGCTAGACATCTTTTTTTTTTTTTTTAATAAAAATCTCTATAACTTAGTTAGCTCTAGTCCAAATTCCACACTTACCACCTCTTTGGTACTGGACAAGATACTTCACCTCTCTAGCTGGCATTTCTTCCTGTACAAAATGAGGCTAGGAAAACTTCCCAGCACTTTAGTTATGGACAAGTGACCTGACCCAAATAAGGAACCGAGCGTGGGTTTGGCACACAGATAACACTGAATGAAGCCCTTTCTGGCACTCCTGGTATTTATTCAGGAGGAAAGTCTCATATTGAGGAAAACACAGGGCAATGACTAAATGCCACCACTGAGAAGGCTCTGCCACTGTAATAAGGGATGAATAATTAATAGAACTGCTCTCCCAGCCAGTTACACTGATTTCTATCAAAAATAAAACTTTATGCATTTCATCCTTAGTTCTACCATTCTGAGTCTCAAATAAGCATCTTGGAAGCATCTATATTTTTTTAATAATTTATTTATTCTTATATTATGTGCATTGATATTTTGCTTACATGTCTGCATGAGGGTGTTAGTCCCCAGGTACTGGAGTTACAGACAGTTGTGAGCTGCCATGTGGATGCTGGGAATTGAAATGAGGTCCTTTTGGGAAAGCAGTCAGTGCTCTTAACTGCTAAGCCATCTCTCCAGCCAGGAAGCAGCTATGCTTATCTATAGAAACAAGCTGGCCTTTAGCATTCAGATGGATAGAAGGTAATCTTTTCCACTTTGCCAAGACCTGGGTTGACAAGACAGGGGTCTATTCTGTTAGGTGTCTATTCATATAGGACAGGAAACTCTCCTCAGACTACATCTCTGAAGGGACATAGTCCTATTGCTTCAACAGACCACAGTCTAGCTCAGTGCCTTCCATCCCAGTGGTTGCCCCATGACCATGCTTTGGCCCAAGAAGGAAAAAGTTGATGAATAAAATTCCCTGAGATACAGAGATCACAGCTTTCATATGAGGGCATAGCATATACAGAGACATCGCTGAATGGGATTAGGGAGGGCAGCTTTCATGTTTGGGCTGTTTCTAGACTTTGCATGAGGGTAGACTAGATACAAGTTGCCTTTCATCACTAGAGGGGCAGAGGATCCAGCTTTAGCTGCTGAACACCATCAGTGAGGGGGGAGGAGCTGGGAAAGGGCGTCTCTGGGGCTGGAATTGGGAGGGCATTTTCAGAATAAGAATGAGCAGTGGGAAGATGAATGACAGAAAGGTGACATTATGGTTTATATGTGTTTCCAAAGTTCACGTGGAAACTTCATCCCAATATGGCAGTGTCAAAAAGTGGGACCTAATAAGGGTCATCAGGTTACTGTCCCCACAATGGACCGACAGAAGTATTGCAAGAGTGAGTGTTTTTAAAAGGGACTCACTCATGTCTGTCCCTTTCCCTCCCAATCTTCTAGTTAGGAAGACACAAGAAGACTGTGCCGGCTAGTTTTGCCACAACTTGACGTGAGCCCATCATTTGAAAAGAGAGGACCTCAGTTGAGAAAATGCCCCCACCAGATTGGCCTGTGATCAAGCTTACGGGGCATTTTCTTCATTGATGATTGATGTGAGAGGGCACAGATCATGGTGGGCTGTGCCACCCTGGGCTGGTGGTCCTGGGTGCTATAAGAAATCAGGCTGAGCAAGGCATAAGGAGCAGTATGGTAAGCAGCACTCCCCCAGTGCCTTCTGCTTCAGTTCCTGCCTCCAGGTTCCTGCTCTGAGTTCCTGGCCTGACTTCCATTGGTGACGATGGATGGAGTGTGACTTAAGTTGAAGGAATCTCTTTCTTCCCCCCAAGCTGTTTTTGTCATGGTGTTTTATCATAGCAATAGAAATCTAACTAAGGCAAAGGCCTTTACCAGATGCAGCCCTCAGACTAGGACTTCTCATCCTACACAATCATGGGCCAAATACATTTCCTTTGTTCACAAAGCACTAAGTCTGGGCATTCTGCTGTAGAGCAGAAAGCAGTCTAAGAAACAACACCTGGGAAATTTATGATTCTGAGATGTGGACAACCTTCCTTCCCCAGGCAAGCAAAAGAAAGACCTGGAAAAAGTCCTGGAGTTTCCACAGCAACAGAGGCCCTGGACCAGAGCAGCAGCACTCATATCCACTCTTTTTGAGAGTCTATTCCCATCTTACAACTCAGGAAGCAAAGGTCTTAACCATAAAAGGTGTTCCTTGAATCGTCCCAAATGACTAAATAAAAGCCCTGTTATAAAGCAGAGCCTGGAGGAGGCGATCAGATCACAGGGGTGGAGTCCTTGTGATGGGGCTAGTGGACAGCAATAGATGAAAGCATGCTTGCACTGCCTCTCCTCTCCTCCCTCCCCCTCTCCTTCCCTCCCCTCTCCTTCCTTCCCTCTCTCCTTCCCTCTCCCCTCCCCTCCCTTCCCCTCTCCTTTCCTCCCCTTCTTTCCCCTCCCCTCCTCTCCCCTTCCCTCTCTTCCCCTCCCTTCTCCCATCCTCCCCTCTTGTCTCCTTTTTATTCATCCTCTTCCCCACCATGTGCAGGACACCGTAAGATGAGGGCCATCTGAAAACCAGCATCTAATCTTGATATTGACTTCTCAGCCCCCAGAATCATGAAGAAAATGCCTGTTCTAGCCTCAGGGGCCACGGTGGTTTTGCTATAATAGAAGGAGCTGACTATGCCAACGGACAGCTGCTTGGGTGGTGAGCTCCAGAGTTCTTGTCATCATAGACACTTGGATGAAACAGGCACAGCACCACGAGGCCACCGTGACCGGAGGAACAGTGCTGTTAGTGTTTGGAAGAGCCTTCCAATGAAGATCTCTACTACAGATGCCTGCACAGCACACAGCTGAAAGCCACATGCAGAACAAGCTACAGAGCCTGGGAGAAGCTGTGTGCTTTTAATGCGGGATACCTTAGTTTAGGAGGTCTATCATGAGCAGGAACTTAGGGGCTCATTATGATAAAGGCTCAAAGTCCAAGATTAGGAGGCCAGCATTGGTTGGCAAGCCTTCATGTTTTGTCACCTCATGGCAGAAGGACAATGGGGGGGGGTAGAGAAGGGGACAGAAAGAGAGGGAGGGAGGGAAGGAGGGAGGGAGGGAGGGAGTACTTAAAGCCCTAAGTTCTTCTATGTGGCACTAACCCACTCACAATTACCTATTGTTAGGCACTACCTTCCAACACTATTACCAAAAATTAAGTTTCCAACACATGAACTTGAATGGACACATTCACACAGTAGCAGTCACTAATACAGAGCAGAAAGACAGGACAATGCTCCAGCAGCTGGGATACATGTAAAAGTGGATGGTGGCATCCCATGGCTGTATTAAAAGTCAACCTGCACATATACAGTGGATAACCTCTCTAAAGAGAGAACCAAACACTACTAAGATGTTTCACATTTTATGTTCTGTTCACCACGAATTTTCTCACATAGACTACAGTGCATACATAGCTTTCTCAAGCAAAGAATTCAGTCATATTAGTTCAAGTTACATGAGCTAAACTCTGTTTTAATCAACTAATCATATCTACTCATCAGAGGAGCGACCATTCTACCTAGGTAATAAAAACAACATGATACACATGCATATACACTTTATGTAATCTACTGTGAATCTTACAGTGCAACCAAGACGACAAGTCTAAAAAAAAAAAAATGAGGCGTATACAAAGGTAAAGATTAAGTCAGACAAGCATAATATTCTCTGAGCATTCTGTGTTGCCACCATTATGTCCTGCCTTACTGCCTTGCTCTGGTTCACGTCTGTGGATGGCTACAATTACACTAACTCAAGCTTGATGAAGTCATTAACTCCTCTTGCCAACCTTTGTGCACACTAAGCCATG